GGCCCAGTTTTGTTTTGTTTTTTACTTTTTGAGAATATAATCACATTTCTCTCTTCCCTTTCCTCCCCTCAAGCCCTCTCATATAACTTTCCCCACTCTTCTCCAAACCCATAGCCTCTTCTTTCATTGTTACTGGGTGCATTTGTGTATATACGCATATTCCTATGAGAACTGTTAAGGGCAGCGGAATTTCTCCTAAGGAAGGGCATTGTTCTCTGGTGCTGAGGCTGCACATGGGGGACAAGGGTACTCTGTAAGGGGATTCTACTCTAGGGAAGTGGCAGTCTGTGACCTCCCTCACCAGTTTGGTTTTTTTTTCTCTATATTTAAAAAAATATTATTGCATCTCATTTACTTATGTGTGTGCACACATGTGACATGGCATACCTGAAGATGTCAGGAAGTAACTTTTGGGAGTCACTTCTCTCTCTCCATCATGTGGGTCTCAAGGGTTGAACGCAGGTTGTTCGGACCTGGGGTTGCAGGTACCTTTACTTGCTGGGCCTTTTCCCTGGCCCCACCTATCCTGTTTTCTTCAGTCATATTATTGTTAGTAATTTAGCTTTTTATTTTCTACTCTAAGCAAAATAATGTCCAGGAGGGCATAAAGGTAAAAGAATGAAACCTTCCAGTGCAAGGTACACTTGTCACAACCCATTATATTTTGAACCATAACAAATACTTTATTTTGTGAGCCCTGAATATTTCTCAATTGCTCCTAACATTAACACAAAGGAGTGTTTTTATGTGTTCTGTTAGTGGGAAGATGACAGCAAAGTAGGAGAATGCCATTGCATGACCACCATGTCCCTGCATGTCTAGCAGCTCACTTTGATATCAGACTTTATTGTTTTTGGTCAAAGGCCATTTGAAGACTCAGAGAGCAAAGGGCAGCTTTACCGCGATCTTCAGAGTTTTAGATAGTGTGTGTGTGTGTGTGTGTGTGTGTGTGTGTGTGTGTATGCATGCACATATGTGTGTGTGGAGGCCAGAAGAGGATACATGCTATGTGCCTAATTTCCTTGAGACAGGGTCTCTCCTTTGACAACTTCCAGAAAGAGACTGTGCAGGTGGATCTCAAAGAACAGTTGGCAACAGGCCACAGCACCATGCTGTTCGAGGGAATGTAACTGTCTGTTTTCTCTCCTCCTAGTTTTCAGGGCTCTACATCCTGTCATTCACAGTCATCATGGTAGGCTTCATCTTGTACTGTTCCACCCCAACACGCACAGCAGAGCCGTCAGAAAGCAGTGTGCCCCCTGTCACCAACATCGGGATCGACAACTTGGGACTGAAGCTTGAGGAGAGCGGTGTCTCAGAGACCCACTCTGCAGTCTTGTAGTTGGACAAGCCACAGATTCCCATGTGTCACCAGAGGAGAGCAGAGCCTGACACTGCCAAGGACGTATCTGAGGAGACATCAGCCCCAGAGTGAATACCCTCTGAGTCGGATTGCATCTGTGGTTAGATTTTAGAAAGGGCCACTGAACAATGGTTCCAAACTAGAAATACCAAAGTAGAGCAGACCCAAGGGTAGTGTTTCTGTGTGTTGAGTACCAGTACCTGTCAGTGTCAGAAAGACATGTGCAGGCCCCTCGCTGGGGTCTCAGGAACACATGTAGGAAGGGAAGGAAGGATGGGGGACCTAGCCTCAGGGCTGTTCAGGCAGTTAGAGTTGAGACAATCTGGGATGGTTGTGTAGGCAGATTCCTCTGTTGGAAGCTTCAGGATTTTGTTCTTCGGGAGCAGTCACTACCCATGGGCCTTACGGAATGTAGAGACCCATGATGCCTGGTCCCTGATGGCATGTGGTAGGGAAGGTGGGTGGGGCAGCATTTGAGAACTCCCAGGATAAAATGGGACTACATTGAAAGCAGCTAACAAGTGCAAGAGTCCAGGAATCCTCTCCTGATTGTGTTCTTTTATCTTTTATAACGAATCTCTCTCCTCCATATCATCTCTTACTCCTCGACAGGCCTGTTTGCTCCTGTGTTCCGAGTTCCAGAGCAAACCGCTCCCAGAGCCTGTTACTCTGCTCATCCCTCACCTTCAGCCCCACACCATAGTCCGAGTTCTCCAAGTAAATCCACTCCTGTCACATCCCAGATGCCCAGGAAGATTCCCGTTGACCTCATCTCACTAAGCCACAGACAGTTTAGAAAGTTAACCCGAGTTGCAAGTTCTCACAGCAAGATATCCCTGGCTGAAAAATGTAGGATCATTAAAACAAAAATACCATGTTCATCATTTTCCAGGATGAATGTGTGCTGGAGTCCTGGAATCTAGACTGTAAGAGGACAGTGTCTTCCTTCTTCCCACAGGTTTACATTGCTCCAAGGTTTCTGACAGCTCCTCAGTACAGTGTCAACATGTAGCCTCAGCGTAATGTCAGCCACCAGAATGCCATCTTCAGAAAACCATGTAAATTTTTTTGTATAATTATAATAAAGGAACTTGGGGTAAGTGTTCATATTATTAAAAGACTTTGAACTCATGGAAATAGAATAACATTGTATATAATTTGTTTGCAATTAACCCGTTTCGCAACTTTATTTGTACCTTGTTTTTAGCTTTGTGTATGTCTGTGTGTCTGTGTATGATGTGTGTGTATGATGTGTATGATGTGTGTGTGTGTGTGTGTGTGTGTCTGTGTATGATGTGGTGTGTGTGTGTGTATGATGTGTATGGTGTGTGTGTGTGTGTGTGTGTGTGTGTGTATTCACATATGTGTGGGTGTAGGCATGCATGTGTCACAGTTCTCAGATAGAAGTCAGAGGACAGACAGCCTCAGGTGTCAGTTCTTGCTGTCTGCCTTAGTTGTGGCAGTCTCTCGGCTGTTCCCTGATGCATACACCAGGCTAGCTGATGCACAAGCTTTTGAAGGGTCTTCAGTTTCCTCCCAGTTCACCATAGGAACACAGGAATTACAGCATCCCATTTCGATGCCTGACTTTACATGGGTTCTGGGGATTTGAACTCAGGTCCTCACACCCATGTAGCAAGTGCCTTACCCCTTGAGCCATCTTTGAAGCTCTTGTTCTTGTGAGACTACCTTACTGTGTGGTTCAGGCTGGCTTTGAACTCCCAATCCTCCTGCTTCAGTGCTGGGATTGCAGCCGTGTGTATTCATGCTGACTTTCCCTTGTAGATATTACATAGTTTGGTACATTTTCTCTGTATGCAGCTTTTCAGAACCTGATGTTCTGTGAGGCAAGGCAGACATACCTGCTTGGGTGCTGGGCTGGGACTGAGTGGACACGAGTTCTTTGCGACACTCAGTGGTTTGTAGGTGTTTGTTTGTTTTGAGACAAGGTTTCTCTGTGTAGCCTGACCATCCTGGACCAGACTGGTCTCACACTCAGGGATTCGCCACCACCGCCTGGCTACAGTTTTATGCTTTTGACCACAGTGAGTGTTAAATGTTTCTGAATGAAATGGTCTCTCATTATCCACAATTAGTTAGAATCCGTTTTCAATAGGTGTTTGCTTTTTACCTCCCATCAATGCCAGCTAGGCCACATTTCCAAAGGTCTAGACTCTAGAATCTAGAGCCTCCCAAGACACCACCACCAGCTGTGGACCCATGCAAACCCCAACACCTACCGAACAGTATGGAGTTGCTCATTGGCTCCCCCGTGTGGATAAACTATGCAACTAAATTATGGTGACACTATAAAGAGAAGGGACTTTGCTGATGCCATTGTAATTACTGTATTTGGATGGACAGGTACCATTTCTCCCCTGATACCAGGGTGTCTGACATCCAATTAATATATATTTAATCAGTGGGGTTTCCAGAAAGTGGCACTTTAACAATTGTAGTTATCCCAGTGTTATTTGTAACAGCAACTAATCTCATTTTATATTGCTTCAATATCGTTTGTTAAAGGATTTTTAAAATAAAGTATTTGAGGAGAGAGTGTGTGAGAAGGCAGAAGGTGAGTATGTATTTGTGTGCAGATCTGTTTGCCTGTGTGTGCCTCCTTGTGAGAAGAGGTCAGAGGTTCACATCAGGCGTCTATCTGTATTGCTCTCCACCTTATTTTCTGAAACAGGGTCTCTCTCTGAACCTGGAACTCACTGTTTCATTTAGATTTGCTGGCCACTCAAGCCCCAGGATCTGCCTATCTCTGCCTCTCAGACCTGAGGTCGCAGACAGTTGTGACCACACCCAACTTTGATGTAGGAACTTCAGATCTGAACTTGGGTCCTCATGTTTGTACTTTACCCACTAAGCCATCTCACTAGCCTGGCAGGGTTTGGTTTTGTTTTCGACAGGGTCTCACTGTGCAGTCATGGCTGGCTTTTAACTCCCCGAGATCCACTAGCTTCTGCATCCCCATGTGCTGGGGTTAAAGATGTTCACCACCTTAACCCTCTGGTGTTTGTTTTAGAGAATGTATTATCAGGACAGCCCTCAGCAGGGACTGACCCCAGTTAACAGTTGTGAGGACACATTTCACTCACATGGAGATTGATGGCTAAGGTGCAAATGGAATCCAGTTTTGTAACCCGTGGCCAGCACCAAGGTCCCAGGCAGTGAGCAATAAAGGAGAGATCTTATCCTGAGGAGATGCTGAGCCAGCTACTACACGAGGGCTGCTGGGAAGGAAGGTTTCTGTGGAAAAGCCTGTCTCGGGAGTGACATTTGCTCTCCCAACGGAGCCTGCCATTTAAGGAAGTTTTAATGCAAACATTTGTCTCCTCAAGTTCCTCTGTATGCCTGGGCACGATTCTCTTTTCTATCATAATTATGGTGATGTGCCATTTCATCCATGTTGAATTACTTAGTTTCTGGCCGTAGCCTCAGCCCTCACAATATATCAATAAATGGGAGACATTCAGCAGAGAGCCACTTAGCTGATTAAAAAGCAAGAGGTTTATGAGGAAATTAGGTAATGCTGAGCACACAGCCCTCCGGGAGTCACATGGAGGGTGTATTCAGAAGTCTGACAGTGTACATAAATGGCACTAAAGAGGATGAACCTCATCAGGGCAGCAAAATACCACCGTCCTTCAGCGTCTTGACGTGTATGGTTTAATACCATAAGACTTTATCTCCCAGTGTGAAGATCTTCATCATGCCCTTTATTCCTCCCTTGAAACAATGCTCTCTCTCTCTTCTAACCATCAATTCAAAGCACAGATAATTATGGGGATGGAAATTTAGATGTAAAGGGTGGTGAAAACGGAGCTAAGATAAAGGGCTGTTCGGACATTTATTGCCTCCAACTGACCACCACCACACATTTTGGATGTTTTCAAATGCTCTTCACTTAGTCACCTGTCACCACTCACTGTTTGCCGGGTGAAAAAGCCAGAGTTCAGACAAGATACAACTTACAGATGTGCAGAGCTAGTGTGGCAAGTTTCCCTGTGATGTCCCACCTTCTCCGACCTTGGGAATTAACTTTGCTTGCTGCCTGTGCTTTTTCATGGCTACTTCACACACCTTTGGGATAGATATGTATGTTCACACACATACATATACATATATACAGATAATTAAATATATGTACATTTTTATTGTAACACACACATTTAAACTTTTTTCAGCAATGAGGCTTGAACCTGGAGCAATTAAGTAGGAACACTATTTTAGGCTATGGTTCTATAGGGTTTTCAGAAGTTTGATGCATTTTTTTAAGATTTTATTTATTTATTAAACATTCTGCTTCCATGTATATCTGCACACCAGAAGAGGGCACCAGATCTCATAACCAATGGTTGTGAGCCACCATGTGGTTGCTGGGAATTGAACTCAGAACCTCTGGAAGAGCAGTTGGTGCTCTTAACCTCTGAGCCATCTCTCCAGCCCAGTTTGATGCATTATTTATTATAGATTAGGAAAATGGGCATAGTGTGAAAACAAGGAATTGGAGGTCTACCTTTTGCCTTGCATTGTTAATTCACCTAATTAGAAATTCAGGTGAATTTGTTATCCTAATCTTAAGACCTTGAGGGCAGAGATGGTGTCTACAGCAGCTGGAGTGTTTAAAACCCACATGTGATGATGTTTGGAGGTGGGGTCTTGGGAGGGTCTGTAGGTCCTCATGGCAGAGTCCTGAGTGGGACTGGTGCCTTTAGAAAAGAGGCTTCAGGAAGTTGCCTTCCTCCTTATGTCTGGTGGGAAACAATGAGAAACTGACTTTTATTGGATACCAAATCTATAGACGCTCAGTCTCCTAAACTGTGAACAATCAACTTCTGTTGTCCTGGATATTTTTGTTATGACAGCCAGGATGGATTGAGACTATGGGCTATATGCCTTGGGCTATACCAAATGGGGTGAGGAAACTAAGAACAAACTCTTTTAATACTTAGCAGCAAATTAGAGCTTCAAGAAAACAGACAACAACAAACACTGCACTTACTGTCTCACACGTTTTCCCTCTGTTCTGTTGAGTCCTTGACTTGTGAAAGACCAGTTTTCATTCAGCTACATAGTGATAGTTCTATGGCTTAGGAAAACAAAAGGTGATTTATTATACAGCACACATATTAATCTCTCCTGAGAAGGCTCAGTCTTAACATCAGCTAAAATGGGGTAGAATAAAGAATTCTAGTAGCTACTCAGAGCACACTTGCTATTGTTCAGAAGAAGCAAAACCTAGATTAGTAAATTCTATTTCTTTTTTCTTTTTGGTTTTTGGTTTTTGGTTTTTGGAGACAGGGTTTCTCTGTGTAGCATTGGAGCCTATTCTGGCACTCGCTCTGGAGACCAGGCTGGCCTCGAACTCATAGAGATCCTCCTGCCTCTGCCTCCCAAGTGCTGGGATTAAAGGCATGTGCCATCAACGCCCGACCATAAATTCTGTTTCTTATGATTAAAATGAACATATGCTTTTGAGAGATGATAAATCAAATAGAGGAAATTATAACCACTGGTGTTGACATATGTTGGTGAAAATGACTGTATTTGGATGTGAGAACCTGTGGATCTAAGTGAAGGAAAACCATTTTACCAGCTACTTGAAGGATGGGAGATTTGTTCTTTCATTACAAACCTGAGGAAAACTGAGTGTGTGGTGCATGCATGTGCTAGGGAGGCTGGGGCACAAGGAATGTGAGTTTGGGGCCAGCCTAGACTGGATGAATAGTGAGGTCTTGTCTTCTCATGTTGCTGTGATAATAGCCTGACAAAAGCAACTTTCAGGAGACAGGATCTATTCTCACTCATGGCTCATAGGTATAGCGCATCATGGTGGAGCAGTCAAGGTAGTCAGAGCTTGAAGCAGCTGTCACATCACATCCAATCTAGAAGCAGAGAGGGTCCAAGGTCCCAGGTGGGGAGTCGTGCCACTCACAGTGGGTGGATTTTCCCATCTTAATTTATGCAGTTAAGCTAATGTCACAGCCATGCCCAGAGGCTTCAAGATAACCCTAGATTCTGTCTAGTTGACAACATAGACCTTGTCTTAAAAATAAAAATGTTGGATGAACTGAGATGTCTTTTTTAGCAAACTGAAAAAAAAAATAATGGAGTCCCATGGATCTCAG